TTTCCGCTCTGGATGTGGTGCATCAGTACAGCATGCCTGCAGCGTGCTGAGGAAGGGCTGCTTTTGTTTTTGTACTGCAGTTGGAGGCTGATAGAGCTGCTCCTCTGTAACCAGATTTGCCTCTCCCCGAGGGTGAAAGCAGTACTCGTGTATACTGATGGGGAGTGATGGGGTACCCTGACTGGACCAGCTTTGGGGAGCACCTTCTCAATGCCTCAAAAAGGGAGTTCTGCATCTGCAACAAAAAGGATTCAGTTTTTCTCATGCCCTTTGACTCTCACAAGGAAGAAAGGTGCAAGTTGATGGGATTTTAAGACTCATCTTTTCAACTATTTTCTCTTCTACACTGCACTTCCCCCCACGCCAAGTGTACCGCTGCTGCCGCCGGATATAGGCAAGAGGGAATCGGGCAGAGTTTAGTCTCCATACGTCAGTGCTGCTTGCAAACTGGGTTACAGGTAGGGTGGTTTCATGTGAGCGGGAGGGTGGCTATTTTTGCTAGTTCCAATTTAGCTTTTCGTTTAGAAACGTACCTATGAGACGGGAACAATTCCAGAACTTGTCTGGTTATTACAGAGCTGTGCCAAGGACGCAAAGATTATCAAAGCTTTAGAACAAAACAATGGAGCTGTTGGGGAGCGGTAAGGCCGCTTACTGTCACCTTGAATAAAGATGCAAAATTTCTCTTTGCTGGTTCACTTGAGAAAGCTTGGCACTGAATGCTTACTGCAGGTGTGGTCTTTTTGGTCTGTGCTGTTACTGTTCATCTAGAAGACTCTTTATGAAGAAAACTGCATTAGGTGGGGGAAAAGAAAAGAGTGGACATGATCAAACACGGAAGAATTACTTTCCTTTGATCATTTTACCGCCCACCTCTTCGTGATCAGGAGTTCAAGCAACCTATTTGTGTGCAGGAGCACCTGGTAGCCAGCCTGCTGAGAAAATGGTGGATTTACGTCTTGGCTTGTGGTCAAAAGCAGGTGAGGTGCTTGGAGGTTAGCAGGCACCAGTAATGGTTGGGGGACTCACGGATCAAGCTCGTAAATCCAGGGAAAGCAGCCTGCCAGCTCTGGGACGTGGCTCTGCCTATTCCTGCCTGCAGCTGTGCAAGTTCATCTCAAATAATAACGCAGTCGATAAGTGGCTCTGTGTCTCTTTACTCCACGGGAACTGAGGTAGTTTTGGGATCAGAAGTGGCAGGAATGTGACCAAGATGCACTGAGGCTGGCTTGAGGAGAGTTTCAAGCCTCTGAGAGACCTTCAGATACCTGCTCATGAGCAGCAGGCCCGCTACTGGCCTGGGCCTTGTTGAACACAATGGCTTTGCGCTGGCTCTCAGTGGACGTAGCAGTTCTGGGTTGATAACCTCTCTGTAAGCGACTGGGAGTGCTCGTGGTCTAATTTTTCCAGATTTAGGGAAGCCTGCACAAGAGCTTAGTGCTCTGCCGGAGGAGATGCTGCCTTTGCAGCTCAGCTGAGGTCTAGGATTGTGTGAGCAGTTAGATCTGATTTGGTGCAAGATTCGGATGACAGTTTAAACTGGTTTTCATGGCATTTAATGAGTTTCAGATATATGACCAGTACATAGGAGATTTCTATGGCTACAAAACCGCGTCACCATTGGCCTTACTATTCTGCAGTGTGACAGATTTATTTGAAAAATCAAGGGAGAGCGGTTGCTGCTTTGCATCCAAAGTAGCGTGAGGTCATGCATCGAACGCTTTGCAACTTGTTGACCTGGGAACAAGCAAAACAAGTGGCCACAGGAGCCTGAAGCCTTAAAAGTCAGTGGGAGAGGTGCTGTCATCTCTGTGAGATGGCTGCAACCCTTGCAGGCAGAATTTGGCTCTTGATGCTTAAAAGGCCTTGTTTGCATTTATCTTAGATGTCCTTGTTCCTCTTCCAGCCTTGCAGCCGCCTTTCCCAGCTTGTTTCCTTTCCTTTCCTTACTCCTGCCAGGTGTCTGCACGTTCCTAGACAGAGGGGAGCACCTCGTATTGCTACATTTCATGTATGTGTGTCTCTTTTAGCTATCAGCAACGCTTTTTATCCTTTGCATGGGGTGGGACAGGGGTAGATATATTCCTGCGTGTGTATTCTCTCTTAAATCCAGTTCTGGTTATGACCAAGGCTTAAAGCAAAAAGGAGCCTCCTCCTTAAAAGCCAGTGTAGCTCAGTTTGGTAGGACTGGTAGATGTTAATGGCATGTGCTGCTTTGTCAGTCAAGTTGAGAGGGAGCAACCTGTGCTGTTGAAGAGGGAAGTGGCAATTTCTAATCGTTCTCAGTGGCAGCTGGGACTCACCCTCCTGACATGCTGTCTGTCCCCTGCTGCCCAGACCAGCAGCAGTGGCTGTAGCTAAAGGAAACAATAGCGTAAAGTAGATGGCAGATTGTGTTTGCTCCAGGAGCTGGAGCGAGTAGCACTTTTCTAGGGGTGAGAAAATGTATTTGCTTTTTTGCTATCGTGGAAAAACGTGCCTTGGCACCTGGGTTGAGCTGCTGGATGCTCGTGGCA